AAAAGGAGAGAAATCAGCTAGGCACAGTGGTTCACATCTATAATTACAGCACTGAGGAGACTGAGCAGGAGGGTCATCACTCAAGGCCTGCCTGGGTTACAGAGTGAGACCCTGTCTCAGAAAGGAGGGACCATGCAAGATAAAGTAGCTGGGTATGGTGGCCCTGCCCATAGTCCCTGCTATTTGGAAGGCTGAGGTAGGAAGACCACTTGAGCCCACAAGTTTAAGACCATGCTAGCAAGACCCTGTCTCAAAAAAAAAAAAAAATAAGACTGATAAAAATGAACAAGCCTCAGTGATCTGTGAGACAGCACCAATGTATGGTTATTGTAATTCAGTAAAAAAGAATGAAGCAGAGAAAATATTTGAAGAATAACAAAAAGTTTCCAAACTTGGTAACAGATACAAGCAGATTTAAGCAGCTCAGAAACCCTAAAGAGGAAAACAATCAAAAAACCCCCACACCCATGTATATCTTAGTCACACTCCTGAAAACCAAAGAACGCTTTTAGGAAGAAATTTACGATTTAAAATTGTGTTAACCTGTGAAAAACAGATTACAGAAGAGGAAACAATATGAAAGACTACTAATATGTCATCAAACTGGAGGTCAAAAGACAGGGGAACATCTTTCAAGGGCTGAAACAAACAACGGTTAAGTCTTGTGTCTAGATGTCCCCCCAAAGCCTCATGCAGTCATAGAGGGGGCTTCTTCAGAGGTGGCTGGATCTGGAGTGTATGACTGATTCATGGTCCAATTAAAGATTAAGGGTGGGTGATTACTAAATGAGTGCACTAACTGGTTTGGCACTGCCCTAATCCCAGTAGCCTGGATACAATATAAGGGACAGAAAAAGGCTGGTCTTGTCCCTTGCTTGCTTTGCTACCTTCTGGCCACCATAAACTTTTTCTCCTCTGCAATGCCTGTCTGCCAAGCCATCCTGCCTTAGAGCCAGCCGATTAAGGGCTGAAAATTCTACGAACTGTAAACTAAATAAGCCTTTTCCCCTCTCACTTTGTATGTCAGGTATTTTATGTCAGCAATGAGAGAAAAGGAAGACAACTGTCAACCCAAAATTCCATGTCCAATCAGACCGTAGTGCAATGAAATTGGAAATCAATGGCAAAAGAAACCACAAAAACATATAAACACCTGGAAATTAAATAACACCCTCCTGAACAACCAGTGGGTCACAGATAAAATTAAAGAAGAAATCAGACAGTTTCTACAATTAAAGGGTAATGTCAATAAGACATACCAGAACTTATGGGATGCAATGACAGCAGTCCTACCAGGGAAATTTTTAGCAGTAAATTCCCACATCAGAAAAAGAGTGAGGACCAGGGATACAGCTCAGCGGCATAAGCACTTGCCTGGCAAGCCTGAGGTCATAAGTTCAATTCCCAGCATCAAAAAAAGAAAAAAGAGAAAAGAAAAAGAGTGAGCTCAAATAAACAACCTAATGTTGAACACCTCAAGGTTCTACAACAGGAAGAGCAAGTCAAGCCCAAAGCTCATTCAAGGGAGGACATTATAAAGATCAGAGCAGAAATTAATGCAATTGAAAAAAAAGGAAAGAAATTAATGCAATTGAGATTAAGAAAATAATACAAAGAATCAATGAATCAGAGTTGGTTCTTTGAAACATTAAATAAAACAGACAAAACCTTAGCCAACCTTATCAAAAGGAAAGAAAAGACTCAAATCCATGCAATCAGAAATGAAAACGATGAGGGCCAGGGATATAACTCAACCGTACAGCAGCTGACTGGCAAGCTCGATGTCCTGAGTTTGATTCCTGGTACCAGAAAAAAAAGGAAATGAAAAGGGCAAAATCACACGGATCCAAAAGAAATCCAGAAGGTCACCAACACCTACTTCGAGAACCTGTATTCTAGTAAGACGGAAATCACAAAAGAAATTAACAGATTCCTAGATACATATGAATTACCAAAGTTGAATCAAGAAGATATAAAAATTCTAAACAGCCCAAATATTAGTCAATGAAATTGAAGATCTAATTAAAAACCTACCAACAAAGAAAAGCCCAGGCCCTGATGGATTCACTGTTGAATTCTACAAAAAGTTTAGAGAAGACCTAATGCCACTACTTCTCAAAATTCCATATCCAGAAAGTGTCCTTCAAAAATGAAGGCAACAACCAAGCATGGTGGCGCACACCTGTAATCCCAGCGCTCAGGAGGCTGAGGCAGGAGGATCACTGTGAGTTCAAGGCCAGCCAGGTTTATAAAGTGAATTCAATATTTCAAAAATAATTTTATTAAGTAGATATTAAAGTACAGAAAGAAAAAAAATAAAATAAAATAAAGTGAATTCAAGGCCAGACTGAACTATAATAGCGAGACCTTGTCTCAAAAAAGAGCAAAATAAAGACATTTTCAGATAAATGAAAACACAGACACCATCATCAACAGAACCAGACTACAATAAATGCTAAAGAAAATCATTCCAGTTTAAAGAAAACAATATTAGATGAAAACCCATCTTCAGTGAGAAAGGAAGACCAGCGGAAATGATAAACATGTAAGTAAATTAACAAGAGTTTTTCCCTCTTTAAAATACACATGCCTATTAACAGCAAACTCACACTGAACTGTGCAGGATGAACACGTGCAGATGTAAAACATATGGAAAGCAAAGCACAGAGGGCGGAGCAGGGATAAATGCACTGGTAGAACTGTGCGATCTCTACATGTCACGTAAAGTGGAATGACATTCTTTCAAATGCCTACCTTCCACAGTGACTTCTGGGCCCAAAGAGGAAGAGCAGGAGGAAAAGGAAGCAAAGCTTCCTGCCAAGGCCTCCCTCGCCGCAAGTCTAACAACCCTCTTTCCTGAGCACTGGGGCTCACGGCTCTATGAACAAACCTTGGTCTTAAAGTGCAAAGTTCTAACAACTAAAAAGGAGTCTATCTCTTTATTAAGCAAACAAAAACAAATCTGAATGTCGTGCTCTACATTTATGAGAAATAATACTAGGAGCCAGGGATACAGTTCAGTGTCACAGCACCTGCCTGGCAAGTGCAAGGTCCTAAGTACAATTCCCCGATCCCCCTCTAAAAAAAGAAATAATACTTTTGTGCTGCTGCTGCTTCTGCTGCTGAGCTAAAATCTGCATTTACTTAAGGTTCCCAATAACACCAAATTTAGGAGCTAAGATCATTTAACATCTCATACAATTCAAAATTCCTTTTGGGAAACTGACCTTAATTTCCTTTATTCCTTTCTTTGCTTTCAAAGTTTCTTCAGCAGACTTCGTTTTCTCATTCTTCTTCACTGTTTCACTTACAAGCTTCTTTCCACTTGGTACAACTCCGAAGAATTTCCGAATGTCCTGTGAGCAAAAAAGAGTTCAAAGCCAGGCTACACTAATGAGCTGGGGATATAGCTCAGCAACACAATGCATGCCCGGCAAGCCCAAGGTCTTGAGTTTGAGTCCCAGTGCAAGGAAAAAAAAAAAAAAAATTAATCATACTGAAACTTTGCAATGTAACTTACAATTACACTCACTTTTCTTATCTTTGCTATATACATCATACATATATGCACACACACATATAGAAATATTCTTCCCTTTCTGGAATTTATTTTTGAAGAAACCATAGCATGAGAAAGGGAACAGACTTAGGAATCAGAAAGCCTTGGTGTGAATCTGTGCTCTAGCACTTTCTACCTGCTTCATCTTGAAAAAGTTACTTTTTCTGTCCGTCTTCTCATAAGCAAAGCGAGTTGATTACACCTTCCCTTCTGGAGGGGTCACGATGCATCTATCACAAGATGCAGCTATCTACAAAGCTGCTCTTCATTTGTAGACTATTACCCATTCACATCATGGAAACATCTCCATTTATGAACTGCTTATACCCAAGGATACAAAGAAATAAAATGAGAACTTAGGAACTTAATTTCAAAGAACAGGGTTCAAGAACCAGCTGAATCATTTTCCCTTTTCCTGTCTTTACATGTATAATCTTGAATTCCCAATACCTTCCTTACAAACTTTCTACTGTTTCATCAATGACTACAAAAGTACTTTGTGAACTATAAAAAGGTTAGCAATTATTTTTTTAGATCCTGGCAGTAATTGTAACACCCTTACATTGTCAAAAATCCCAAACAAGTGTGTTACATCCGCAAACACAAATAGCTTTGTGGCTAAGCCAATAAAAAAGCAGAAATGAATTAATAGGGCATGTGAATGTAGAGAGAGATTAAAGACTTCCTTGGAGGCTGGGGTCCTTGTACCTTGGTGGCAGAGCCAAGCAAGGCCTTGAGTTTTATCCTCAGCACTTAAAAAAAAAAAAAAAGATTTCCCTAGTTTTTTGTTGTTTTGTTTGTTTGTTTTGTCATTTTGAGACTGGTATCACTATGAGTTCAGGCTGGCCTTGAGCTCACTTTGTAGCCCCGGCTGGTCTCAAACTCACAATGATCCTCCTGCCTCAGTCTCCTGAGTGCTGGGATTACAGGCATGCCCCACCACGCCCGGCTCCCCTAGTTTTATAACCTCTCGGTGACGCTCCTAATATAAAAAAGTTTAAAATCCATAATATAAATCTACGAAATACTGCTTACAGAAAGGCTACCTCAGCTATGAAACTGAAACATTTGTTAAGGGAATATGGTGCTAAAGAAAAAGGCAATAAAGAAAGCCCAGTCATCCTTGTTACTCACAAAGAATTGAATTTGAGGCTGACAGCTACTTTATTGCTTCTGGAGGAAATGAGAGTTTCCTATCAGTTTCACTTCTTTGAAATTACCCCATGATACTTCACCTAAGTAGGGGTGATCACTTAAAACACACAGAGAAGAAACAGGCAGAGAAAGAAGAGGTGTACCATGGAAATAGCAAAGCTGCAATGAAGAAGTTAATAAAGCAAGCAGTGGTTTTCAACCTGTTTTTGGACCACAAAAGTTCAGAACTGCAAAGAGAAAGAAAACAAAATATACTTCAGGGAATAAAACTGGTAACACGGAGTGCTGCGTTTTGCCTGTACTGTCCTTCCTCACCACGCCACAGCCTTTCTGCTAATCCTTTCTGCTCGTCTTGCCCGGCTTTTCCTCCTTATTCTACCCCAAGCCCCCAGACCCCAGACTCTGACAGCAGCGTAAGAGTTAAAGAAAGTATAGCATCCTGATCTATGAATCTAGTTTTAGAGGAGAATTTTCATCAGAATGAAAGCCATCAGAATCAGACTTACATGTTTTTAGGACAACGTCAGCAACTGTCTTGTATAAACATCTAAGAGGCAAAGGTCAGCAACCTAAGTAATTCAGAGATTGTGACTTCACCTTACTCTTGCAATGAACACTCCCTGTCTAGGACCACAGTCTTCCAAGATTCCATGAAATCCACAACAAGCCTAGTAGCTAATCATACAACCAAATGATGGGTCTACACCCAATACGTAGAAAAAGGAACAAATTTTTAAAACGGCTTTTTATAATCTTAGCTATGGGAAGGGCTTCTGAACATGAGCCTAGAAACCACAAAGTTTTTTGGGAGGGAATATGGAAAAAAAATCTGACTACAGAAAAATGAAAAAATACATAAACAAACTAAAAATACAGCTAATTTAAACCCATCTACAGCGCCAGGCATGTTGGTGCATCTACCATGTGATCCCAGCACTCAGGAGGCTGAAGCAGGAGGATCTCTGTGAGTTCGACACCAGCCTACCCTACAAAATAAGCTCAAGGCTAGCCTGAACTACATAGCAAGACCCTGTCTCAAAAAAAAAAAAAAAAAAAAA